CAGTACTGCAGGTGGGGTCTTGTGAGTGTGGAGTAGAGGGAGAAAATCCTCTCCCTTGACATGATTCTTTTGATGCAGCCCAGGATACGGTTGGCTTTCTGGGCTGCAAGTGCATATTGCTGGGTCATGTTGAGCTTCTTGTCAACCAACACCCCCAAGTCCTTCTCCGCAGGGCTGTTCTCACTCCACTCATTGCCCAGCCTGTGTTTGTGCTTGGGATTACCCTGACCCATGTGCAGGACCTTGCACTTGGCCTTGTTGAACTTCATGGGGTTCACACAGGCCCACCTCTCAAGCCTATCAAGGTCCTTCTGGATGGCATCCCTTCCCTCCAGTGTGTTGACCACACCACACAGCTTGGTGTCGTACACAGCTTGGTGTTGACCAAGGTTGAAGGAATATGAATTTACTTCTAGAGATGGGTTGCTTGAAAGCTTGGAGATTCCATTAGAGATGGTGGAATGCAATCTCTATAGCATAATATTGCTTAAGGGTGCTGCTTAGTGTATTGGGAACTTGGATGTGCAGCGCAGAGGATATAGCATTACTGTAGCAGAAGCTGGGGAAGGGCATCAGTGTTTAAGCTGGATGCCCAGCTTGTGTCAGTGTTATCAGTGACAATTTACTGAGATGATTTGTTGTCCACCTGCCTCATTACTTAATGAGGAGATGCAGAAAATGGAACTCGGACACAGATGGATTTTCAGAATGTAATTTTGAAAATGTGTTAACTTTTACCTTTAACGTGGTGGCGAGAAAAGCCCAGCTATCTTGCAATTTGTTTGAACCTGTTCCTCAGTTTCCTATCTCACCCCAGGAACAGGATGAGGATGTCCATGCAGTTTTTTCTGCCTGTGCAGGTTTCATATTTCTCTTTTTCCCCTCCCCAAGGTTCTACTACTTGTGTCCTGGCTGCATGAGCACTTGTAGGAGTTGGCTCCTGCCAGTCTTAAATGCTTGGTGTTGGCTGCAGACTGGATAACTTTTCAGTCCTGTTCCTGCTTCTTCTTAATGTAATGTCAGGCCACCAACGGGCTGCTGGTGAGTGAGAACATTAAACAGAAACCCTGCTCATGAGACACCATGTCAGCCTTGGCTGGAGAGATAAATTGCTTATCCCAAAGCCAATGAAACAGTCAGACCAGCTGCATTTGGGAAATGCATTTTAGACTTTCTACTCACGGTAGGGCAGGGGTTGTGGTTAAATGACCATGTTACGATGTCAGGACTTCACAAGGAAGGTCAGGCCCTGGATGTATGTATGTGTATTAAGTGCTGAGAAGTGGAAGGATGAAATTAAATGAAACATCTGTCAGCATTGCATCTGTGCCCTCAGCTAGTCAGACTCATAATCTCAACAATTAAAGTAAGCAAACAGAAAGACCTTCATCTCTTTATTTGGGCTTGAATTTATAGGTGTATGTCGTTCCCTCTCTTGCCACAGGGAGCAGACAGA